GAAACAATAAGGCAAAAAAAGGGTCAGTGCTACATGGAAGTCAACAGAGCTATGCTGGAGGAGAAATTTAAAGATACAACCCAAAGACAGACAATTTTTTTCCAGCTAAGGATTTGGTGGGGATGTTATTGGAATACTCATTAAAAGAGAAAACACCATTAAAAATAACAATTGAAGGTCGGAGCTTACCAGTTGGGTAAAAGAAAAAAGAAATCAAGCTAAGATTAGGGTTCACCATTTGAAACCAAATTGTGCCCTCAGCCCTGCTTTTTTCTCAGTCATCATTTTCTCCAGATAGCAAACGCTTCCATTAATACATAAATCAGTGCTTTGCACTTCCACAGAACCTGCCACACAAAGACTCCAAGTGCTTGTTCAAAGGTGGCTAGGCTTGCTCTACGATGAAAATGGTCAACCCAACCATTTGCTACCTCTTTTCAGTGAGGATCTACAGTCCCCTGACCCCTAATGGACCTTTAAGGTGGTTTTGCTAAAAAGCAAAAGCTGAAGGTAGCTGTGGGATGGGGCGTATAACTAAACCATCTCAGGCAACAGCACCTTGCCTCCCTTCAGCTCTTCATGGGGCCCGGTTTCTGCTCCCTGATCAAGTGCAACGTGGACGCCAGCAAGGTGCAGAACCTGGTTCAGCAGTAGCCTGCATGCAGGGAACTCACCGCATGAACCCTCTGCTCCACACGTCGTATATATAAAATAAAATCAAACTACCTGCTTTGCTTGCATGACTTCACTGTCCATCTTCATGTTTGCAAAGGCTTAGGTCTCACGTCAGGCTAGTCTTAGGTTAGCAGCCATCTAAAGTGAGTCAGACTGTGACAGCTCAGATGTCCCTATGGCAGGCATGGAACTGGTGGCTCTAGCGACATAAATCTGATTACATTTGCAAGGGCATTGCTTTCACTTAAAGGTGCTTCTTGTCGAGAAAACAAGATCAAGGAGGTGGTATTCGTCTTTAGCATTTATTTATCATTGGAAAAAAAACCCTTTGAGCAAGCAAAGATCACAAGCACGTCACAATCAATTGGCTATACATTAATCCGTGTCTCTGTGTGTGTGTGTGTGTGTGTGTGTGTGTGTGTGTGTGTGTGCGTGAGTGTGTGTGTGTATGTGATTCTCATACGAACAGCAAGAATGAGAAAGCACCACGAGGAGGTGTGCTTAACACGTTACAAGAGACAATCTGTGATATGCAACCAAACCCAGGCCACAAAATATTAATTAGACACTTCCTATCTGCCTCCAAGAGGCAAGAGTTTGTGGAATTCATGGGAGCCATGTATTTACAACAGACGCATTGCAAATGAGGAAGCAGGTGATCGGTGTGCAAAGCAGTCAGAAAATAGAAGCTCAATAAGCAATTAGCACCATTTTGCAGAAAGGAGTAACAGTACAATACAGTGAAAATGAGAAAGCAAGCAATCGACAGCATAGAAACTTTGACAGGGTAAAAAGCAAAACATCATTCTTTTTCTTTTTACATGGAAAGCAAAACATATTACAAGTTTGCGGTGAAACAGAACCAGCATTGTGGTAGCTGAGAACACAGAACAGCAGAGCACTCTTT